AATTGAGTAAATAAAATGATATTAAATCTCTCTTAACGATTCATGAATAAAATTATTTATTTATATTAATTGAATACAAGAATATTTCATAAAACTCTAATAGAAAGTAAAAGACGAATATATTTGCGTACAACTAGATAGATAGATAGATAGATAGATAGATAGATAGATAGATAGATAGATAGATAGAATTATCTTTGACACTCAAAGCCGAAATAGAGATAGAAAAAAAAGGAAATCAACAAGGAGACAAGCAAATGTTGAAAAGTAGAAAGAACAACGGCGTTCTACACATAAACGCACGACCACATACATACACACGCACTCGTACACACTTATATGCACACATTGACACGCAAACAAAACAAAACGAAAAGAACTTTTCATTATTACTATTAACTGAGTAAATCAAATGATATTAAATCTCTCTTAACGATTCATGAATAAAATTATTTATTTATATTAATTGAATACAAGAATATTTCATAAAACTCTAATAGAAAGTAAAAACGAATATATTTGCATACAACTAGATAGATAGATAGATAGATAGATAGATAGATAGATAGATAGATAGATAGATAGATAGAAGGACAGACGAATATATTTGCATACAACTAGATAGATAGATAGATAGATAGATAGATAGATAGATAGATAGATAGAAGGACAGACAGATATATATTCAATATATTGGAGGCACGGTGGAGTAGTGGATAACAGCTCGGATTGAGGAATCGGCGAGTCGAGTTGAATCAATTACATTCACTTACGTGTTAATACCTTTGGGAAAGGTAATAATCCTCCTATTCTCCGCCCTCCAGCAGGAGAGACTGGAGAAGGACACCTCTGAATTCAAAACCTTCTTTCCACCCCTTCCCCCTTCCTTTTTCTTCTTCCTCCTCAGGAGGTCATTTTTGGAGACCTTGTGGCACCTAGATTGTACACCAGGTCTCTGTATTCGGCCCTTCAAAAAATATAGTTGGTTCTGCACCACTGTAATCAAATCATGTGTGCTGGTATCTGGCTTGGAACTGCTGCTGCTCCTTGGAGACCTCATACGGAGAACACACACCATATACACACACACACACACATATATATATATATATATATATATATATATATATATATATATATATATATATATATATATATATATATATATATATATATATATATTTTAAAAAGACATTTTATGTTTAACGTTCTTTTTATAGATTTATAATAAACAGTATTAAATAACATTTACCGGCCTGAATGTCCGGGAAATTTTCAGGCCGGTAAATGTTATTTAATACTGTTTATTATAAACAGAGCATTTACTTAAATACTTGTATCTATAAAAAAGAACGTTAAACATAAAAAAATGTCTTTAATAAATAAATTGTCGGACTTTGTCCATTTCTTAATATATATATATATATATATATATATATATATATATATATATATATATATATATATATATATAAGCTAAGTGACCAATTTAACATTTGTATTACTCAGACACACACACACAGATGCATACAAACACAGACAGACAGACAGACACACACACAGGCACACACACACACACACACACATATATATATATATATATATATATATATATATATATATACACTTCCCTGCCGTGCGACGATGGCCTAGAAGTGATGTCAAATCAGTCGGGTTTCGAACCCGGCTTGAAGCAGTCAGACGCCTAGCCACACTGAAAAGCTGTGATACAGCGAAAGTCTGTTTGTGGATGACTATATATGCTCCCGGAAATCCGGTTGAAGTCTCTAGGGAAAAAGGTGATTTTAAAAAACAGCGACTTCTACTGCTATCAAGCATTACTATTCAAGTAAAATTGAATTGAGTTCTATGAGCTGCTGGCGTGTTTCGTATAGAGAAAGACGTTAAAATTCCCTTCATCCCTACCGTGCGACGTTGGCCTAGAAATAAGACCAGTTTGGTTTCGATCCCGGCTTGAAGCACTGAAATATGCGAAAAAGTATGTCTGTGGATAACTATATATGTATTTGTGTACGCATCAATTTTTATCCATTTCTTAGAATTTAATCCCCGTATGATGCTAGGTTTTATATGTTAATAAGCACAAAAAATGTAAAACTCTATTTTCAGAACAATAGGTTAAATACAACAAATTGCAAAATAGGAAAGGACAAAATTATTCGTACAGTATGAAAAATAGAAAAAAAAATCGGGAATGATAATGGACACGAGAATGCACGGCTGCATCTGATTTCGTTTACAGACTGACAGAGGCCGGGTCATCCAACATTTGCTGCTGTTTATCGTCGCATTGCTGAGATAGGATCCGAGGCAAACTATTACCTCTGACCTCGAACCCATTCTGCAGACTGTTGTATCTCTGTACCTTTGACCACGAAAAGCATATTCTACGGGCTGTGCAATACGTAAGTACACGTCAAGTAAACATAGAGTACCGTATGGAAAGGACTTCAAGATCAGCTCCTATCTCCGTGTCATTTGCAACGTGTGCAAGGTCTTTCATACCTCTGAACACTCACCACGGAAATAAATAAAAAATGACTGTGAACTATTGTACAAACTGCTTATTCGTTGTTCGTCTCTTCAGTCTTGTTTACGGATGAGGTAACATTTATAAGAGATGGAATAAATACACAATTTTTCCAGTGGCACTGAGATTGACCTGAAGGTTCTTTACCGCGGACTTAATTTCTGCATTCCCACTTCTTTTATTATCCTATAATCAGTTATTTTTTATTATTATTATTATATTTTAATGTTATTATTTTAATTCTTTATTATTTTATCTTTATCATTTTGTTATTTCAATATTATTATTATTATTATTATTATTTTATCTTTATTATTTTATTATCTTATTTTTTATTATTATTATAATACTAACAGCATGGCCTGGCGTTGCCCATGCTTGATTCAAAAATCATACGACTCATACAGCAATCGCTATCACTTGAAACAAAATATTTTTGCCCTTCCTTGCCTTTAAAGGAGTGCCCTTTGTCGTGCTGATGTTGCTACATGCCTCACTTCTTGCTTATCTCACACTGCAAATTTTTTCTAAGCTCTATACTAAACATTAAATCTGTTACGAAAAAAGAACTAAACAAAAAGAACACAAAGCAATCAGCTTTAATAAAGGACTCGTAACTGGAAAAAAACGAATGAAAAAAAGAATGTTAACAACAAATACTTTTTCACACCCAACACAGTTCGGCGGATTCAGAATCAACGTTGAGTTTAAGCAAGCGAATGAGTCAATTGGAGTAAAGTGCCATGCAGATTTAAATTTTTGCCACTTGTGACGAATGCAGCTATCGATTTTTTTTTACATGCTAGCATGCTGGTTAACATTCGTGTCAGTCAGCTGTTGGCTCTCACTCAGGCCAGTAGAAAATGACCGCAAACTACATGAAAACTGCCGTAGAAGCATGAAAAAATCGATTATTTCAACTATCGCTGGGAGTTGGGAAATGCAAAGTCGGCGTTGGCCTTCCCGCTAACTTGAAGCATGTGCATGTAAATTTTGGTGCAATTCCGTCGAAAATTACGGTCGTCCATTCGTTACACACACACACACACACACACACACACATCCTGTCTTTTAAGATTATTATAATAATTCTTTATTATTTTCTCAATATTATCTTAGTATCTTATTATTTATCAATATTATAATATTATTATTGTTATAATTCTTTAATATATTATTATCAATGGTACAATATAAGCTAAACACAAGCATCAATTTCCGATTAATGTTTGGGCTGGAATTGTAGGTGGCTGTCTGATAGGTCCATATGTTCTCCCAGCACGTCATACAGGGGCTGTGTACAGGGACCTTCCCGACCTGCTACAAGATGTACCCCAGCTAATACGAAGAAACTTGTGGTTCACGCATGATAGGGCTCCATCACATTTTAGCCACATTGCCCGCAATGCACTGGCTAACATCTAACATGAAAAATAGATAAGTATGGGAGGACCTGATCTTTGAACTACACGTTTCCCCGACCTCTGTCCCTTGGATTTTTATCTGTGGGGCCACCTAAAACATTTGTCTTATGCAGCAGAAGTTAATAATGCAGAGACGCTCCATCAACCTATCATTGAAGCCTACGAAACCGTTTGTGATCGTGTGGGAGAAATGGAAAGGGTCCACCAATCAATGATCCGACGGGTGTATACGTGTATAGAAGCAAGCAGGTGATATTTTGAATATTCGTTATGAGTTGCTGTGTTGAGGTACAACGATGGGCTTTTGTACAAATGTTTGTACGGACGTTTTACCTTGTGGGGTGTCAGCAAATTGCCCCCAATTATGTTGGGAAATATTTCTTGGATAGTACATTTGACAGCGTCTACCATAAACTTTAATTTTAATAGCTCAAAAACGAAGATGTTTTTAGTCCTTGTTTTGGTGTGAGGAATGCTTCCGCCCAAGTCTGTAAGGGTATTCTTGATACACACACTATATATATATATATATATATATATATATATATATATATATATATATGTTTCATGCTAGAATGTAATCTTCAGTTCATGTTGACCTCAAGTCCACTTTTATAATTACATACCTTCTATTCCTGATATTGAGCCTTTTACACATCAATGTAGCATACCATAAAACTATATTTTTAACACACACACACACACACACACACACACACACACACACACACACACACACATATATATATATATATATATATATATATATATATATGGTGGATGTCATTCGTTTGTCGAGTATAACCAACGAAAATATTGCTAGACTGAATTGTGACTTACACTATCGAGCAATGCCTGTGCATAATTTTTTTTTTTTTTTACGTGTGAAAGTATTTTCACTTTATAAGGAAGAACAGCATATAGTCATTATTTTATTCTGTCATTCCACTACCAGCCTTGGTATTTCTCCATCCCTATCCAAGGAGCTAGATAGCCATTGATACATGACAGAATTCATTAGATTTTCATAGATAGATAGATAGATAGATAGATAGATAGATAATGAAGGGAGTCATATGTATATACATATATATATGTGTGTGTTTGTGTGTGTGTGCAGATAGATAGATAGATAGATAGATAGATAGATAGATAGATAGATAGATATGAAAAGTTTTAGATACGTAGATAGATGTGAAGAGACTTTGACAGATGAATAAAGAATGGATTTAGATAGATAGATAGATAGATAGATAGATAGATAGATAGATAGATAGATAGATATGAAAAGTTTTAGATACGTAGATAGATGTGAAGAGACTTTGACAGATAAATAATGAATGGATTTAGATAGATAGATAGATAGATAGATAGATAGATAGATAGATAGATAGATAGATAGATAGATAGATAGATAGATATGAAAAGTTTTAGATACGTAGATAGATGTGAAGAGACTTTGACAGATGAATAATGAATGGATTTAGATAGATAGATAGATAGATAGATAGATAGATAGATAGATAGATAGATAGATAGATAGATAGATATGAAAAGTTTTAGATACGTAGATAGATGTGAAGAGACTTTGACAGATAAATAATGAATGGATTTAGATAGATAGATAGATAGATAGATAGATAGATAGATAGATAGATAGATAGATAGATAGATAGATAGATATGAAAAGTTTTAGATACGTAGATAGATGTGAAGAGACTTTGACAGATAAATAATGAATGGATTTAGATAGATAGATAGATAGATAGATAGATAGATAGATAGATAGATAGATATGAAAAGTTTTAGATACGTAGATAGATGTGAAGAGACTTTGACAGATAAATAATGAATGGATTTAGATAGATAGATAGATAGATAGATAGATAGATAGATAGATAGATAGATAGATAGATAGATAGATATGAAAAGTTTTAGATACGTAGATAGATGTGAAGAGACTTTGACAGATAAATAATGAATGGATTTAGATAGATAGATAGATAGATAGATAGATAGATAGATAGATAGATAGATAGATAGATATGAAAAGTTTTAGATACGTAGATAGATGTGAAGAGACTTTGACAGATAAATAATGAATGGATTTAAATAGATAGATAGATAGATAGATAGATAGATAGATAGATAGATAGATAGATAGATAGATAGATAGATATGAAAAGTTTTAGATACGTAGATAGATGTGAAGAGACTTTGACAGATAAATAATGAATGGATTTAAATAGATAGATAGATAGATAGATAGATAGATAGATAGATAGATAGATAGATAGATAGAGTGATGCGTGTAAAAGAGCGAAAGAGATAATAAAATATACATGATAGAAGAGTAATCCTGAACAAAACCTTTGAAGAGTATCTAAACCTTGTCAATCTCCAAACATTCAAGTATCGGTAGTATTTTTTCTTCAAAAGATATTGTGCATCCAAAAGAAGGAGTCTTTAAAAAAATGTCGCATTTAACTCTGAAATTTTCACTTAATCAACTCACTTGAGCGTTTGATAATAATTAAATTTAGCAGCTGTTCTTAATTTCATTTATTCTGCCTCCGAATAATCAACTCAGACAAGAAAGATCCGCTGTCTTTTATTACATTAAATACGCTCCAAACAAGCTTAATCAGACGTTTCAGCAAGCGACGCCATTGTTCAATGAAGCAGTTGACTGCACTATGCTGGCTGGAGCTAAGGGCGGGATTCACTTTCTTTTTTCAGGTGATAATTCAAACCATACTTTGCAATGTGTGACGAACATAGAATTATTTACGAGACAAATAATTAAATGTACATTATGGTAAGATAATATGAAATTTCAAAGAAAAGCAAGTTTGGACAATAAAGAACAAATATAGTTACATTAGTTAAGAAGAATTACTAATATGTTCGAGACAATTGAATAGGTAATTATATAAATAATAAAGTAAAAAGAACAACGGCAAGTAGTTTAATGGTTAATAGCGCGAATCGGCGAACTGATTTCGAACCACAACTACGACGATTACTGTTTGTTAAACGTTAGCTCTTTTGAGAGAATCGTGAAATCCACTTGATATCCTAGATATATGAATGATCTGGTCGGTTAGGAGATACGTTCAGATTCACTTTAAAGGTTATTTTTTTTTTTTACAAATTGTTTTCCAAATCCAAGGTCCAAGTACCACTTCTGGTAAAGTCTTAATGACCAACGTTGTTGTATGAAGGTAAGAAGTAATGAAAGAAAAAAATGCAAATTATGAGGATATGAATGGAAAGTTCTAGTTGCCTTTTTTTTTAATTGAGTTCTTCTGATAAAAGGCAGTACATCCGCTAATACACAAAGGATTACTAGATGTGCAAGAATTGGAAACAGAAACATTACTAATGAGCGAGAAAGAGTAATTAGGAAGACAGTAGACAGCGATTGACATTGCATTTAGATTTTTGAAAATTAAAGGTGGCTGTAAAACACGGAATAGGAAGGGAGCTGCACAAGCAAGAAGTGCGAGAAAAGAAATTGTTAGCATAGAATTTACGGTTACATGTTGTCAACTCAGCTGTAAGTTGATGAGATATGCCCGGTTAGGATGATATTCCGTATTCTTCTTTGGATTTAATCAAGGAGTTCTAGAGAAATATCTGTAGAACCGGATCAGATGTGGCAGCAATATTCAAAGCATGGACGAAAGGTAAACTCATAAATATTTAGGATAAATTCTGGAGAGAAAAAATGTCTCGCACGACACAGTGGGCCAACATTTTTAGCAGCTCACATAGCAATGGATTCAACATAGTTTTTTTTTTTTATTTCATGTCAACCGAGAACGTTAGCCACAGGAGGCGCCACGAGTCATTTTCTTGGAGGTTAGTATCAGCCATACTGATGGAAGACAGAAAAGAGTCTCTCAGATGATTAACGGAGCGCTGTTTAGTCTTGGAGACGTTAAAATTAACTAGTAATCTTCTGCCCCAGTTAACAACAGACTGGAGATGCTTTCATCCATTGGCTGCTATTTTGACCCTATTGAATCCAATCAGACTTACTAAACCAGCGTAGATACAAAGTTCAGATCTGAGGCCGTCGGGAAAGTCATTAACGAAAATTTTTTAAAAAAGTAGAACCAAGGATGTAGCCATGGGAGACACACTTGCATTAGTATGAAATGATCTATACGAGTGGCCGTTCAAGAGAACTTTCATTTCACGATTTGATTGGAAAGACTGGATCACTTCAAGATATTTTCCTGAGATACTGTAAGTCTTCAGCTTGTGAAGATGGCCTATATGCCAAAATTTGTCTAACTCTCGAGATATCCTATATATATATATATATATATATATATATATATATATATATATATATATATATATACAGATAGATAGATAGATAGGTAGATATGTATATTACAGTAAAAACAAAAAATTATACGGCTATCATCAGCATCTATAACGAACGGCTTGATATAGACTACCTGTCTTTTGAGGTAATTTTTGCTTTTTGCTGTAAAAAATCTTATGCTCTCTTGAAATAAAACTTCGAGCTCTCTGTGGATCAGTTTAATAATTAATATTAGTAGGATCCACCCAGATTATATACCAACAGATCGATTAACTGTAATATATATATATATATATATATATATACAGTGTAACCCGGATATAAGAGACCCGGTTATAAGAGAAACCCGGATATAAGAGACCCGGTTATAAGAGAAACCCGGATATAAGTGAGATTTTCTCTGGTCCCAAATTAGAGCCTGTGTTAATGTATATAAAATAGCCCAAACCGAATATAAGAGAAACCCGGATATAAGAGACTTCTTCTACGGTCCCGACAACTCTCTTATATCCGGGTTACACTGTATATATATATATATATATGTATGTATATATATATATATATATATATATATATATAAATATGTATGTATATGTATATATATGTATGTACAGTGTAACACGGATATAAGAGACCCGGATATAAGAGAAACCCGGGTATAAGAGAGATTTTCTCTGGTCCCAAATTAGAGCCCGTGTTAATGTATATAAAATAGACCAAACCCAGATATAAGAGAAACCCGGATATAAGAGACTTCTCCGGTCCCGACAACTCTCTTATATTCGGGTTACACTGTATATATATATATATATATATATATGTGTGTGTGTGTGTGTGTGTGTGTGTCTGTGTGAAAAATCGACGGTGGCAGGACTGTCCTTACCTCTGTATACCGACGAAACATGATTCCTCTACATTTAGATCCGTCAAGGGGATATCTAAAGCAGACAGAAGCGAGGTAATGAGGCAAAGAGGGTTTTTCCACAGGCACCCTTACGCACGCACACATATACAAAACACATTTTAAACAAGATTTAATGATATCCAATGTTTAACTGATATTTTCCAGTATCTACATGACTCATATATTTCCATTTAATTCAAATTCCGGGAAAAGGGTTAGGGTTAGAAGAAAAGCTTTCAAATTGACTCCATACTTGCTGCAAGTAAAGGACACGTTCCTGATGTTATTCTGTGCGGATTTCACTGAGGAACAAATAATGACGCAACAGTGAAATTCCTCAACCATTAGAGATAGTAGAAACTGCAGTCTTTCACCATATAACTGACCCTTGCGAGATGGCAGGGCTTGAGAAAGTGAGTTCAAGCGGAGAATTGCAAACAACGTGTAGATCCATGCATTACCGCCAGCTTCACCTGTTTTTTGGGGGGGGACATTGTCGCTACCATAGATATGAAATGAACCCAATCAAAGAAATAAAGCCAATAGGTAGAAAGCGTATTAGTGAGTGTAAGGGAATATGAGGGAAACTATCTTTAAGGATTGAGGACAATAAAAGAACAAAAATTAAGAAGACAGGAGATAACGATTAACATTGCATTTGAATTTCTGAAGATCAAAATTGACTTGGAAGCAAGATGCCAGAAGATAGTTCCACAAGCGAGAAGTTTTTTTCGTTTTTTTTAAGCGTTTCACCCCAAGCAAGGCGGGAAGCCACTAGGACGCAAGGGGTTACAGAAAATTTGGAGCAAGGTCAGATAAAAGTGATAGAAGAAAGGATGAGGAGAAGGGTAGTGGATAGATCAAGGCAACAGGAGACGTCGATTGACATTACATTTGAATAGTTGGAGATTATAGCTCTCAGGGAAACTGGAATAGGGAAGGGAGTTCCACAGGCGAGAGGTGCGAGACATGAAGCTATTGAAGTAGAAGAGACGGCTACATTTAGGAGTTTTGACAGTGAAGGGGTGAGAGTGGGATGCCAGCCTCGTAGGGCGCTTGAACTCATGAAGTCTGGGAACCAGCGAATGCAGCTCCTCGGAGCAATTGCCATGAAAATATTTGTAAAACAGGCAGAGAGAGGCGACGGCGCGTCTGTGAGAAAGTGAATGTAGACGAGATGCCAGATCAGGGCCAATTATATTGCATATCCGCCCCTGGAGCCTATCAAGAACCCCGAGGCAAACAGAAGGGGCTCCAGACCATATATGGCAGCAATACTCCATGCAAGGGCGAATTGTTGGTTTGTAGATCTGGAGGATCGAATCCGGGGAGAAAAAATTTCCTGGCGCGGCACAGGGAGCCAACTTTTCTTGCAGTGGACGAAGCAATTGACTCAATGTATTTGTTCCATCTCAGGTCAGCCGTCAACGTGAGACCGAGCAGTCGCAGAGAGTTGCTCTATAGAAGAGACCGTTAGCATAGAACTTACGGTTACATCTCATGATTTCGACTGTAAAGTTATGAGACCTTGCAGCCAATCTAGTACTGAGCTTCAAGTCATGAGGTATGTGTATCATGGCGAAAATTACATCGGGATAATTACCATGAAAGTATTTATAGAAAAAGGCACAGTGAAGCTAAGTTACGGCAGTGGAAAAGATACTGAAGCCGAGATGCCAGGTCACAGACAAGTACGATTACAGATTTTTCTTTGGATTTTATCAAGAATCTCTAAATATATAGCGGGAGCATACAGACACGATATGACAGCAATATTCAAAGCATGGAAGAATGGTAGACTTATAAATATGTAAGATAGATTCTGGCGCGAAAAAATGTCTAGAACTTTATAGTGAACTAAGTTTCTTAGCTTCAGATTTAGCAATTAATTCAATATATTTTTCCACTTCATGTCAGCTGAAAACAGTCGGAGAAGGCGCGATGTCTCACTCGTCTGGAGATTAGCCTCAGAAGCTAAAACGAAGTTAAAGCCACACATTGTCCTCCTTACTACAATATTAAACGGAGGCCTTAGTGCCTAAGAGCATCCAGGAAATATGTTTATGGTTAGATATGTAGAGCATCGTTTATTCTGAGGTGTTAAATGATAAAAATATCATAGAATAAGTTTACTGCCAGCAGTTAAGATTTAAATGCAGTTTTGAGCAAAATCCTTCATATTTAGTAAACAAAAAAGGGATCGCTCTTCAACATAACAACACATAACTCTCAGCTTACAAGAATGACCAAACTTTCGCCTAGATTACCGCCGTAGGGAAAATGATTTCTTCGCTGTCTTCCTCAGGCATCGGTTCTTAGGATTAACACCTGTTTAGAATTTTGCAATGTCGTTTTATACACGGGACATTAAAAAAACTTCTTGACTGATAGCAAATGATTACTGAAATCGATGCTTACTATACTGAGAATGAAATATATCTATATAAATAATTTTTGTTGTATTTGACATAAAACAATTGAGGGGAAGGCTCGATACAAGCTGATACTAGGTTCAATTGTTAAATTGTTGCCATTTTATAATTTTAATTTTGCGCATGCGCGTTGTTTTTTTTCCGTTGACTGCACGGTATAGTGAGGTCAGTTGGAAACCGTCTGTGAGAAAAAGAGCACCATGACGCAATTCATTCCTCCAGTAATTTGAAAACGTCATGCTGTCCTTGACATTCGCGCTGGATTCTCCAATACGAAAATTTCAGTGTGTTTGGGTGTCAATCTGAAGACAGTGCAGAGGATTCAGGAAGAGTTAGATGAATCTAATGGCGATTACGAAGATGTTTGTAGTGATCATTAGAGATGGTGACGCTATGCTTCCATTTATTTTCCCACAAGGCCTCAGATATGGAGACCTAAATCTTGAGGATGTAGTGTTGCCCTGGGTCAAGAGGGTGGCTGCTGGAAATCCCTATATCTGGCAACACGACTCTGCACCATGCCACACAAGCAGGAGAACTCAGCCATGGCTGTTAGATAATTTCTGCGATCACATCATCCCTTACCTCTGGCCAACTAACTCCCCAGACTGCAGGACTGCAGATTGATTATTATGTGTTGGGTGGAGGTTTGTGAGAGACCAATGAAATATCTTTTAGCACTAAATATGAACGGTAGGCAGGTATTATGTCAGCATTCCCCAACTAATACAAGGAGACTGTCCAGAAGAGTTGCAGGAGATTCCGAATGTCGTGGTTGAAGCCAATGGTGATTTTACTGAATTATTTTACTTTTACTTTTTCGTATTTTATTGAATACATTTAGTCTTTAGTATTTCAAGATATTTTTGTGCAATTTTGGTAATTATACCTGTTAAAATGAGATGTCAGTGTTCTTTTCATTTTTGCGTAACTTAGACGACAGTTTATTCATCACACAGTTGATAGTGTTTTACTACGAGTAATTCTCTCGCCTCAAGTATTAAAGGATTTTATTCTAATTGTGGCACCCTGCATTATTAGAAAAACTAAAAAGAAATATTCATAGAAATATGATTTAATTTTTATTCAGTTTATTAACCAGTTGTTAGTTATTTAGACGAAGAATAATTGAGTTTTGAGAATAATTCTCTAATTGTATTTAGGCGATCCTAAGGAAGCAGAAGGAAGAAAAAAAAAAAAAAAAAAGAAGAAAAAAGAGAGAGATGGATAATGTAAAAGCCGGTCATAAGCGAAAACAGGTGTCAAGAGATATCTAGGCCAACGCGCCTGACCGAATTTCGAACAATAGAAATTAAGAATAAGCCTAGAGATAATGAAAAGAAATAAAAAGAAAACAGACATGGTAAAAAGTGGATGAACATACGTACGATTGATAAAAATATCGGTCAAAACATCTGACCTACTTTTTGTGTCCACGGAATGTAGGGAGCTCATTATCAATTTGGAGAAATGGGATTTTTTTTAGAACAATGGAAAACGAAATATTAATCGGAAAGGGGTGTCTTTTGGGATGAGAAAGGTGACCGCTGGAATTGTATACAGATCCTGACCTGTTGAAGATTAGAACCCCCACGATGATAAAGTGAAGATATTTTCAATTTAGATAATTAAGATTTTGACTATCAGGTCTGAGCAAAAAACAAAGAAATGAAAACAATTGTTCTAGCTCACAGAGAGCGCCAGCGAGACGAGAGAAATTCTTCCTGAAGTCACATCTAATTAGCGGCGGGCTGTTTTGACAAAAACCAAAAAGGTGAGAAAGGCCGAGATTGTCATTTTCGTGCGTGCAAAAAAAAAGGCCAAATTGGATTTTTTTTTTTTAGCAAGGTGTTTCTTTCCCAGAACAAAGCCGGGATAGACCACGCCCGATTGGAGACGTCACGAAGGACGGAGACGCCCAACCAGAATCTCATTAGCCGAAAGCGGTCACGTGATATGCGAGAAAGAGGAGAAAGGACGCTCGACCAGGACCCATTGGTCGAAAACGGTCACCTGACATACGAGAGACCGGGAGAGATGGTATGCGCTCCCCCAGAGGCACTGTGAGGGAAGGGGTGAAAATAAGAGCGATAATGGAAATCAGAACTAATGCGACTTTTGGAATTATCAAGAAACCTGACGCCGACCGACCCACCCCAGTTTGTTGCGGTGTCAATAAAAAGCAGAACCCCAATCGACAGAAATCAGTTCAGCCCCGGAAGGCAGAGAGAAGAGTTCACCTCAGACGGCAGAGAGAAGAGTTCGGACCTTGGCGAGAAGAGTTGCAGGACGGAAGAAGAAGAAGTTACTTGCAGTTTCGTCTAGAAGAAGTTGAAACCAGGCCAAGCCTGGGGTGGAAATTCGTCAACCCAAATCGAAGTGAAGAAATACGTCCAACTCAAGCCGAAGCGAATAAGCGCGTCAACTCAAGCCGAAGAAGAATCAGCCGTGAACGACTGGTAGAGATTAGCGCCCAGTGTCGAAACCAAACCACACTCCGACATACAAAATTTTAGAGAGTAGGCAACTCGAAGTCTTTAAATTGTATGATGACTTGGTGCCACAGTCCACAAAACGGGTCGGGGAAGTAAGAATAATTTTTATGTAACGAACATTAGATATAAAAGGTTGTTACCCTTTCTTATCAGTAATTTTTGCCTCGTGAGTTTTTTTTTTTTTTCTTTTGCTTGTGTTGCCACCCCGTTGAACCCAGCTGGCATACGGCCCCCGACTCCTGTTTGATCCCGTCATCTAAGATCTAATCACAACGTGGGTAGGCAGACCGGAGATCAGTACAGTTACCTAGTAACCAGGTGTTGGAAGCGAGTTGGGAACGGCGAGGCTGGTAATCATCTAACCAGAGGTTGGAACGTCACACTTGGAGCAGCGAGGAGCGAACAACTGACGCCGCGGCAAAAACGTCACAACTGGTGCTGTCCGTGACATGGATCGACCCTTGGGCGGCCACATCACGTCACGTCACAGTTGGAGCCGCGAACGAGATCGAACGACAGAGTCGACGCTGCGACCAAGGAGGGGCGACGTCACATAATCATTGCTTT